TGTTTAATTATGAGCAGGTCTAGGTATTCAATAGTATCTTGATTCGTAGTAATTTTATTAAATGTTAAACTGTTAAACTATTTGAGTAAATTTTGAATTGTTCAAAAGCAGAATTATTATTGAAAGTTATAATATCATCAATGTATCTAAACGTATTTGCAAATAACTTTAATTCATTTTTATTCAAACTTAGTTGGAATTTATATTCATAAACAAAAAGAATTAGGTTACATATTGTGTAGAACTGTTTGCTCCCATTGGTATTCCTCTCACCTGCTGAAAGATCTCGTATTTGAATTTAATGTAGTTATTAAATAATGCACAATTCATGTAAGTTTTCCATCTTTCAATTAAAGGATGTTAAGCATGTCAGGGAAAAGTTGTGGGAGTTGCATTAAACTAGTAAAATTTCTTCTAATGGTAGAGAAGTATAAAGGTTTTCAAAGTCATAGCAGTTAATGTTCTTGTCATAGCAGTTCTAAGCGTTTAAATTTGTTGAGAACTGGAGCATTATTATAAATAATCCAAACTATAGTTATGCTGCTTAGTTAACTAGCAACTTGTTAACTAGTTGATGAATTAAAAATAATTATAACTAATTGATGAATTTTAAGTTTAATTGCAAATATGTAATCTATATTCTTTTTATAATTATTTGTACCATTTGCTATAAATCTAAATTTGAATGGTTATTTATGGAATTTAGGAAGACCATATAGATTTGCTAATCTATTGTAGTTAGATGGTTGTGAAATTTGTAGTTTCTTATGAATTGTTTTAGCTTTTTTGAAATGACATTTTCTTGTGTATTGGTAAGTTTGTAAGTAATGGCATTATTCAGTTCAATATTAATTAGTGAGACATAAAAAAATTTTAAAATAATGCTGAAATTATTACTGGCTTTGTCAATTTTGGTTATTACGAATTTTTGTTTCAAATCTTGCAAGAGAGGATTGAGAAAATTCCATGATAAGTTGCTGTTAAATTCAATCCAGTTAATAGTTTGCAACCATTTTTTCGCATTATGTTACAGTTAGAATTTTTAGAATTTTAACAATGTTTTACACATTATTACAATACTTCACAGTTAGCAACATTTTTACAACAGAATACACATTTTACGTTACTTAAAAGTTTACAGAATAAGTTTTTAAAATAAATCTAACAGCTTAACACTTAACTGTATATTAGCACCCTCTATTTATAAAGTTAGCAGAAACACAGTACTTAACATCACTTAGTTTGGCAAATGCTGCTCCACTCTCCAAATACAACTATAGTTGGTAAGCTAAATTAAAACTTACTATTTACTTGCCTTTTTAGTATTATTGATGTATTTTTTATAGATAGTATCTAGTTTCTTTTTGATTTATATACATAATTTGTGTTGGGGAAGTTTTCTGTAGGCAAGAGTTTTTAAATTACTTTGGTTTTCTACTCTTAATTGACCTTTCATTTTAATTCTAGTCATTTACTTGTTAATTTCTTGCCTACATGGATGACGAAACACGAATTGAATAATTGAAAAGATAGGTTTGGAGGCAATTTCCCCTTAATAAGTCTGTCTCCTGCCTGCTCAACAATTATTCACTTATGCCTTTTTTATAAATTTTTTGGAGTTATATATTTGTTCATAGATTTTGATACTTGCACTTGATTTGCATATGCTCTCAGAATTTAAATGATATTGTAGATTAGTTCGCAGCAATAATTAATCATTTATTTGTTTGCAATTAAATTTCATTATTTAAAGTTTAATTTAAATTTTCTTTTTACGGATAGAGAATATTTGTTAAATTCAAATTTCATTCCTTGCATCAATGGCACAAGAGAATTATTTAAATTTAATTTAACTTTACTATTTATTCTTTTGAAATATATATGTATGTATATGTGTATTACTAAAAAAAATTATTGCAAGCCTATGAATGAGGCTACTTAAATTATATAAAAAGTCTGATGTGTGCATCACATGACTCCCTTTTACGGAATATTAAATTATACCCATTTTTTCTTTCATTTCATTTAAACTTATTGGGTTGGATTAAATCTACTTCGTCGATAGCGCATAAACCACAATAGAATAATTGCACTCTTCAAATTCACTATATTTGTTTACCATGGTGACACTCTGGCCCTAGGTTCATTTAACACCATTATATTTTGTTCATTTTTTAACTCAGAATGCACAAAATTTATATCATCTTAAGAATTATCTAATCGTTGCCACATGTTCTGTTCAAATACTATAATAAATCTAAAACGGCGTATAAAAGAAATTAAGCAAAGAACAAGAACAACAAAAAAGGTACAGTTTTTTACAGATGATTCAGTATTTCTCATTCAATTAATTCAGTTCTCATTTTGCAACAAGGCAAAAATACATTAAAACTCAAGATGTCTGTATTGAAAACTATGAAGTAAATCTTAAACACTTATTTCCTCGAATAAATTCCAGAATGGATTAAGCATGATTTAATTTGCAATAATAAAAGGTGGTGTTATTGGGAAGCTTACTTAGATTGCCAACAAATCTACTATTCTGCTGTTTCAAATGTAAACAAGCAATGGCTGCTATGGAAAAAATTATTAGGCTTAGCCGCACTTAAACAACTTTTAAATTGTTGATAATTCTAAAAATATTGCATACAGATTTACTAAAGGCATAAAAACCTTAACTGGAAGATAAGAACAACATAATTCAATCATTAAAGCAAAAAAATGCACAATTTACAAACATATAAGAATAAAGAAACTGAGATCACTGAGCCAAAAAACAGAGTGGATATATATATACATATATATTTATATACTTTTTGGTGTGGCCGATTGCAACCAAAATATGATGTGCACATCTACATATTAAGCAGTCCTATATACAAAATTTCAGCGTTCTGAGGCTACTCGTTTTTGAGTTATGTGAGATGTTATTATTAATAAAAAAAACGTATTTTTGAGTATTAGTGGATAAATGATTTCAATGTCACTTTTACCATTATGTTAGCATTTACATTACTTGTATTATATAAGAACCGTAAGTATGGTATAATATATTTCAGAAGGATTTCTTTAACCATTTCATTATTTTTAAGATTAAAAAAATAAAGAACCAAATTAAAAGGAAGCTGTAGAGCAGTGATTCTCAACCAGTTTTGCCCATGCACTCATTTTATCATTGCTAGAAGATCATCCCCCCTACTTCCCAAATCTAAAAAAAAAAAAAAAAAAAAAAAAAAAAAACATACACACACAAATACATGTATTAGGTATAGATTATTTTTAAACATGCTTTATAAATTAAACAAGAAAAAGTATAGAAAATGTTGATAAATGCGAAAGCTTGAATAAAGTAGTTTTTTTTAAAATATATTTAGTTGTTTCAAAACCTATTTACAAATAATTTGTTGCAACCAGAGTGCTGAAAGAAGAGAGATAAGGAATTTAAAAGAGATAAACACTAATGCTGCTTCAGATAACAGTTATTTCATTTTGCTAAGGACATTGTTTCATCCCACCAACATGAGGAAAAGAGGCTATTGGGATGGTCCTGGTGTGCTTGTATGAGGAGGCATTATTATGAACTGCATTATTATCAACATTATTAATGCATTATTTTTAACTGTTTGTAATGTAAACATGAGATTTATTTTATTTGAAAGTAAATTGATAACAATTATTTGAAGACAGCATTTTAAAAGCTGTTTGCAAAGTCAACGTAAAAATTGCATGTGAAAGCAGCATTGCCTTTTACAAACAAAATAGTCTGAAAAAGAGGTGGCGCTATCTATTATAAAAGTAATTAAATAGCTAACAAAATTCAGTAGATCATCATTTGGGATAATACCAAAATTTATAATATAGATTATTCATATTTTTATGTTTCAGACCAACTTCTCAAGGAAAATAATCTGAAATATCAAAACCTCAATAATCCAAGAGAACTGTATCACGTTTTGTTCCACATGACCTTTTGAGCATGTAAAGATAAAAATATAATACACAGTAAAATGAAATGGAAATTGAAATAGAAAAATGAAAAATGTATACATTATTTACACCCCATACTCAAATAAATCATACAGTTACCTGGACATGATAAAGTCTTGCACATAGAAATGTTTAGTACATTGTTTTAAAATTAAAATTACCATAAAAATATAAAATGTAATTGTATAGAAAATCTAGTACAAACACGTCAATTTACATTAAAAATACTACGATCAATTTAACCGTGAAATTTAAGCTTACTAAATACATGACTTGTAATAAATTTGCCAACAGAATGCTGTAAAAAGCATTATTGTAGAAGATTAATTAACTCCTTTAAACACATTTCAAACTATTAAAGTGAAAATTAATGCTAAACATTCTTGTACTAATGAAAAAATAAAAGAAATTAAGAAAACTGACAAAAATTCTGTAGTCAACATTCAAAGAACTTGCAAAAATCAAAATTGCACTATTCCTCTTTTCTTGTGAAGAATGCAATGAAATTAGTCATATATATGTGCATAAAATTCTGTACTCTGGAACTGCAGTATCAAATGTATTTTAAAGCATTAGTGAATTTTAACTTTCCTCTTCTGTGCAAATATATACATAAAACATGTGTATAACATATAATATATACTAAGATAAAACTATATATGTAATACTTATAATATAAAGTAAGAAATTTAGAACTAATTTTTTACAAAGAACAAAAATTGAAATTCATAATTAATAAATTTCAAATAATGCTATAAATGCAACAAAGAATTTAAAAAATGTTAAAAAAATGATGTTGAATCATTTTTCAGCAGCTTAATGTGCAAAAATACTAAGCATGTTTATTTTGTTTTTTAAAAAATTTGTTTTGTAATTATGATATAATAATATGTATACTAAGCATCTCTGATATTATTGTTAATTCATATCATGTTTGCATTACATAAAATAGTGATGAACTGAAGTTATTTAGTTTGAGGTTATTTTTTTAAATATACATTTTTTCTGTTTAGCTATGAACCAGAATTATTTCCAGGAGTCATATATAGAATGACAAGGCCCAGGCTTGTTTTACTTATATTTGTTTCTGGAAAAATTGTTTTGACAGGTAATTCTTTAAAAATGTGTTTACTGCTCTCACAAAATTGATTGTTTATACATGATTTATGAATTTGAACATATGCACAAATGATTGATGTTATAAAAGAAACTTTAAATATATATGTAAATGTATGATGTAACATTTGATTTTTCTTCAATGGAAAACTCACCTTGACACAACAATGCATTTTTTTAATATGTTAAATTCCACAAAAAGAAATGATACACCAAAGAAATGGTGACATGTTTAATGTAGCGACTGTCATTTTACACCCATTTCCAACTCCAACTGTTTTTCTGTATCAGTTTCTTCTGTTAATCTACTCCCCCCCCCTTTTTACCTTTTGGTGTTCTCGAAGCTGAACCTCTGCCAATTGATTCTGAAGGAGAGGGGAATTATGACAGTCTGTAAGATGTTATTATGAACCCAAGAGCAAGAAAACAAAATGACAAATTTCTGAGGCTTCTTACCTAAGTGCTGTTTACAGTGGATGGATAGAGAGAAGATATTTTTCAGAAGGGTTGCATGACTAATTATTCCTTGATAGTTGGTCATAGACTCATAATTCCATTTTAAGAGATGAATCAAATAATGTCAAGTTTTTGTAAGGTGGCCAATTTTTCTTTATTTTGTTCATTTTTCCAATCCAATATTCATCTTCCAATTGTCTTTCATTTCAATTTGTTTTTGTTCAAAATCACTGATATTTAAAATAGGATCACCCAAAATACTGAACCATGCTTTGCAAATCTATTGCTTTAATTAAAAAAATTTTTTTTTTGAATATTTATATTTTTTCTCTTTTACATAAACCAGTAGAAGTTTCAAACTCCTCTTTATTTGTTTAATCAAATTTAAATTATTCATATCATCTTCAAAGTATCAGCTCTTTTGCTTTAAAATGCTAAATTCTTTAGTGCCTGCAAAAATATTTTATCTCTTGTTAAAATAAAATAAATAATAAAAAAAGATTTCCTCTAGTTGAGTATTTCTGAAGGTACTTCCTTAACATTCACTGCAGCAGTGGCATGGCTTTGTCCTACCCCCTGCACTAGAGCTTTAGTTGATGTTGTAGGTATTGTGTTTATAATATTGGCCTTCCATTCACAGCATATCAGAAGATTTATGTGTGATGAAATAATTTCTAGGAATATGTGTATCCTTCCATTCACCAGAACCTATTATCAAATGTATTATTTCCTTTCAAAACTAGATCCGAGGTTGCTTTCCACCAACTTTGGTATATAAAATATAGGCATTAGGAACTGCAATATCTAAATGTAGCATTACAACTTTTCAATTGCATTTTAGGGATTTCCGTAATGCTGAGTAATAGGAAAGAAGTTGATCAATTTTACCAATGCTACACGTTTATTTATTGTTATCTAGAATGCTGTTAGGTTTGTGATGGATTCTACTTTTTGATTCTTTTTATTTGAAGCCATCATTTTACTTGACTGCTCAGTTATAAGCGTAAGAACATAGTGCTTATCTTTCCATTTCATCACGACTGTACATGCTTCCTGTACATAACTGTCTTACCTTGCTTTAGCTTTGTTTTCAAAATTTCTTTGGGGAGACTGCAAATTTCCACATAACTTTATCTTGTTTTGGCAGAGTTCACTTGTGTTATAAGAAGTAACTACTGTTTTGTCCAGAATGCATTGACAAAAAACAAGATGTCTTCACCACAAAATTATTGACTCATTTTTTAAAGTTCCTTACCTAGTATATATATATATATTTTTTAATTATGCAGAAGAACATCACAGCCTTTTGCAACTTGTGCAACATATTCCTGTTATCTTCATTGCTGCTTATTTGCCAAAACTTTAAAGCATGTTTGAATTGGTCTCTCGCCATTGTGTCGCTGAAAATTGGTATTTCTAACACTGAATCACTTGAATTATGTAGTCTTCAATTTGAGATTTCTTGATAAGTTCCATTGTAAAAATAATTCATAAAAATTTCTCCATTTCTACAACATCACTTGGTTTCTAATGATGCGCATAACTTTTTGGTTTGGCTGTTGATTTACAAATACATTGCTCCACATACTTGTTGGCTTCTGATATAGTGATTTGCATAATTTCTTTAGTGACCAAAAAAAAAAATATATTGTTCACGAGGAGGCTGAGAGGTCTGCACATTCTGGATGCATTATGCCACTGCTACCTTGAAAAATAATATCATTAGTCATTGTGTAATTCGCACCAACTTTAAGCCATTCATATGATGTTGAAGCTATATGAGAATCATCAATTTCACTTCCACTGCTTTCTGAAATACTTTCTCTTTCATCAGCATCAGCATTCAAACCTGGGGCACACTGAAGTGACTCCTTAGTTACTTCATCACCTTCTGCAATTTCTTTGACATCATGATTTTCATTTTTAATGCATAAATTGAAAATACAGTTGCTAAGTTTACAACTGCTTTTTCTATCTAAGCTGATGTCATCAACAAGTTCTTCATCAGATAAATAGAGATATTGTATTACCTCATCAATTGAAATAAAAAAATTGTATTATTTGTCGTTCACTAATTTTTCTTTTCAAAATATGGGAAAAGTATGCAAAATGTACAACCAAGTTATGCGAATACAGAAATTCTCTAAAAATTGTGTGATTAGCATCAACTTATAGAAACTTTGTGAAAATATAATAATATGGACTGGGATGCACTGAAAAATTAATTAATAAGTCACTGAACACGCGGCAACAATATAAAAAAAACACCGTGTAGAGAACAAGTTATCTCGTCCCTAATGCACAACGAATAATCTTGAAAAAAAAGATATCTCATCCATTGTGGCAAAAGTAGGTCTCCAGCAAACAGTAAGGGCAAATATGATTGTCTGGAAATGTTAGGGCTTCCTCTAAGAATTTTAAAATGTAGTTGCTCATTGAAACTGATACTCTAGTAGATAGTCTTTGCTCGTTAGCACCCAGTGTTTGAGATACACACATATTTCTCACAGCAGTAACAATGAAGTTACTTTACAACTTGAAAATAAGCTATAAAATGATAATTTTTAGATTGTTAGGCTATAAAAGATAGTATGGCAAGTATAAATATCATAAAACATCACCAGCCATGAGTTACCATTGTAATCAAGAATTATCCTGTAAATAAAGTGCATACATTGGTATAGCATATGAATTATTCTAATGTTATAGAATATCTGATATTGGCTTTTAATAAGTGAAATTATGTATATTTGAATCAAAGAAAAGAATATAAAGTGATAAAGGTTTTTGCAAAATGTGTGAATTCTAGTGTTATTTTCCTGAAATTTAATTCACAAATTAAAAAAATTCATAATAAGTTGATATATAATTGAGTCACACATTGCAAGGCAAATGCTTTAAATTTCTTTATGATTTTCAGCAATTTGGTGGAGCAGTTATTTTGATTTAAAAAAAAAAAATGTGAACCAAGAATTGTTTTTAAAACTCAGCAACTGAGAATTACATCAGCTGACACTAATTATTCATGCCAAAATTAATTTGGATATCATTTGGCATTAGTATTGAAAGTTTAGTAAATATTTAATCAATGATTTCAAATGATGCACATTTGCTGATAAATTATATAATTTATCTTATTATATCTTCCATTTTCATGGCAGGCATAAGAAAAAGAAAACAGCTGTACATGATTTATTTTATTTGGGAAGGGTGTTGAAGGCATTTAGGAAGAAATAGAAATATTTTTATCTTTATTTAAATCACTGAGAAGAGTAATAGTCATGATGAAAATCTGTGCTTTCCAATCTCTACTAAAACTAAACTAAATTCAGTGGCTTAACAACCCTAGTGTGCCAATGCCTGCAGTGCCCCGAAATCTGCTTTCTTGGCTGTCGGCCCTGGGGTGCATAAGCATATGCCCTGAACAAGTAATCAGCTTGTTGCAGGACCCCCCCCCAGTGTTTAATCCCCAAGCGAACTTGGGGACTAAACACTGGGGGGGGGGTACTCATTTTATCGACCCAAAGGATGGAAATCATCGGATGAAAGGCTGAGTCGACCTTGCCCTGCTCGGGAATCGAACCCCGGACCTGTGGGTCTGCTGCACAATGCGCTAGCTCTCTTCCAATCTCTACTAAACTAATTGTATTATGTGGAAATGGGAATTCAATATCACTATGGAGTAAAACTCTCTATACCAAAACATGTGCACTGAAGGATGTAAATGGTAAGAGAGAATGTTAAGATGTGCTTATATTAATTACTTTTTTGTACACAAGAAAAGGACTTTATAAAATTTGCAGATAAGCTATTGTCAGCTTTCATGGCATTGAAAATACAGTATGAGCTACAGAAGCATGAACTGAACCTATAAATTATCAGTTATTTTCCGTAACTGCAGTTTTGCCATGATGTCTTATGGTCAACAAAAATAGAAGCCATTGTAACTTTATTTGACTTCAAAAAAATTTATTGTAACTGAGAACTAGGCTTTGGTGTGTTGAACTGTCCATGTCAAGCAACTTTAATCCATTGTAATAAAGTTCACTATTATACATCCTCTAAATCAATGTTTGTTTCTTTGAACAAAAGTTGTCAAAGTCATATAATTTTGGTAATTGTGCATATTACAGGCTTCTTTTTTTATTTATAATTTTTTAATAAGTCAAGAAACAATTTTAGTAATTGAAATATTCTTTATAGAAAGTAAATGGAGAAATCTAAATTTCACATATCATTACTGAAAGGTACCATGTGACCAATGTTATCTATCATATTTGACTCATTTTTTTAAACTGGCAGCATAGAACTGCCACTAATTGTTCAAAAGATCTATAGGAAAACATGCCAATGTAAACCAAAAGCAGCCTCACATTGACGTAGATATTATTTAACTCTGCAAAGGTAAATGACATGGGCCCTCTTCTTCAGCAAAAAAAGAAAGAAAACCTGTCATAGAATAAGCTGTGTCAAACACCATGAGAAGTGATAGAATTTTACATATCTGTGCAAATCTTTGGTTGTTTTTCTAACCATATTTGAAAAATATTTAATTATATAGATCCTCCCCCCCCATTAAATATCCTATATATAATCAGTATTAAGTATAGGTATGCTAATACAAAATTTTCATCATTTAGTAGTAATGCTTTTGGAAAACTTTCACATCTGTTGAAGTGTAGATTACATTTTAAAGGAAAGCACTAAAGAAATCATTAAAAAATGATCATTCAAAACACCTCAGTAGGTACGAAAAAAGCAATACAGTCAAAAATCTTTAATCCAGACGTCCATAATCCGGAAAGAATCCGGAAGTACCTCAAAGCTACAAACTTTCTGCGCATAATACCTTTAAGCATGCGCATTATACATTTACGCATGCGCATTTAATGTATAACGGACGATATAAGCTAAGCTAAAATTATCTAATTATCCATTTCAGTTAATGTTGCAGATTGCATTGTTCTTTAATCTTCTAATTGGATCCGGCTTATTATTTTTTGCAGACTGTTAGAGCAATTTTATAAAAGTAAGCTTGAACTTTCAATCATGTCAAAAAGAATTTCCGATTCTGGAGCTGCCAAAGGATCTACAAAGCGAAAGCATGTTTCGATGTCCATCAAACAAAAAGTGGAAGTGCTGCAAAAAATGGATCCTTTGTTTCTCTAACCATTCCAAAATCTGTTTATCAATTTCACGCTGCTCTGTGGGGGGAGGGAAACGTTGTGGCATGCAATGAACTGGAAGTTGATTTTTCAGCATTATCCTAATCTTCAGGGCAGGTGTTTTTATTTTATTCGGCTTATAATTCCTTACTAAATGTAGTATTTCATCTCGATGTACTCCGTCTTTGATATGATTTAAATCAAATTCATTATAAATATCATGAATACACATCAAATAGTTTTCTGGTTGCAATTCTTTACGCATGCGCGCGTTGAAACAAATGTTTAATAAAGTAAACAAATAAATACTAAGCTTTTTTTTGTAAATTTTGATACCCTTTAGATAGATCATAATTGCTCTTTATTTCATAACTTGTGGTTTCATATTTTTAATTTTATAATTTCTGCATGCCATCTTACCAGATTTAAACTGATGATCTATAATCCTGAAAAACGAATAATCCGGAATCGCCGAAGTCCCGACGAGTCCGGATTAAAGACTTTTGACCATATTATTTTTTAATAGAACAGTATCTATCAGCCATAAAGGTAGCCAAACAAAAATTTTTTAATCAATTCATGAAATCAGCAATTCACTTCAAAGTTGCTTTTTTGGGATGCATGTAATCAGAAAGTACTCTTTATATTCATTTATGTCTTTTTTTTTTTATATATCCTTGTATGAAGTAAAGGAAGTATTGTAATCACGAAAAAAATTCCGGATATCGTATTTCAACGAAAATATCCATATTGACGGATATTGAATGCAATTTAACAATGTTTTTGTGTAACATCTGTACATAAAAACAGAATAAAGGACTCTGCTTCTCCAAACAAATTATAAAATTTATTTAAAATGGATCCAGAAGAGATTTTTTTGTGTCGTAAGTATGTTTTTCATATAACTCAAAAACAAGTAGCCTCAGAATGCTGAAATTTTGTATGTAGGAACTGCTAAAACATGTAGCTGTGCACCTCCCTTTTTGGTTGCAGTTGGTCGCACCAAAAGTATATATATACTCACTCGGCTCAGTGAGCCCAGTTTTTTTAATTCTCATCTGTTGGTAAACTGTGCATTTTTTTCTTTAAAAATGACTGAATTATGTTATGTTCCGGTTAAGGGTTTTTTGGCTTTAGTTAATATGCATGAATTATAAACAATTTAAAAGATGTTTAAGTGCAGCTAAGCCTAATTTTTCTTACCATAGCAGCCATATTTGTTTACATTTGAAACAACAGAATAGTGAATTAATTCTTCTGCACGTTCAGTGTCTTTTTGCCAAATGAGACCAAAAGGAAACTTAGTTTTGTGCACCGAAATTCTGCCTTTTTGCGTGCTGGCTGAATTGCTTGTTTTTGCACAGAAACTCTTAAACATAATTTTTTTTTAAATTGTTTTAACTGTATTTAGTGTTTTATGTTTTTCTATATCTTTCAATTTTTAATGAAGATATTTTTAGTTTTTATGTATTTTTGCCTTGCCACAAAGTGAGCACCGAATTAATTGAATGAGAAATATATCTGTAATGAAATTTGACGAAATAGTGTTTCATATTAGCAGTAAATATTGTCGCCAATCTGTCTCAGACGGAAGAGAATGTTTACGAGTAGTGTTTGCATTTTAGGTAAGCAGTGCTAAATCGTCTGTGAAAATCTGTTTCTTTTTTATTTGTTTAATTTCTTTTATACATAGTTTTAGATTTATTATAGTATTTGAATAGAACATGTGACAACGATTAGATAATTCTTCAGATGATATAATTCTTGTGCATTCTGAGTTATAAAAAGAATGAGATGTAATGCTGTTAAGTGAACTTAGCGCCAAAGTGTCGCTATAGTAAGTAAATATAGTGAATTTTAAAGAGCTTATTTATTCTATTGTGGTTTATGCACTATCAAATTCAAAAAGTTTAAATGAAATGCAGGAAAAAATGCATATAATTTAATATTATGTAAGAGGAAGTCGTGGTCTACACATCAGATTTTTTTTAAATATTTTTGTTGGATTATTGAAAATTAAAATAACTGAATGATCAGAATTGTGTAGAAGAATCATTTACTTAATAAGCTGTGTTGTAAGTAAACTTACTTAGCTTTGCTATCTTTAGGGAAACAAAAAAAAAAAAAAAAATGTGTGTGTGATGTATTTATTTTGTTAATGCTTAATAACTCTGATAAATGCTAGACATTCACTTAGCGAATGGCATTTTTAAGTGTATGTATCTCATATTCAGTAATATAACCTTTTATCAGTTTTAACATTAATGCCTAATGTGCTAAATAGTTGATTCTAAAGGAATAATAGTTGATTCTAAAACTTTTGTTCTATATTTTATATTGCTTTTATATTTCTAAACTACATCTTTCTTTTTTTATAGGAGGAAAAGCCAGGGGCGATCTGAAAGCAGCTTTTGAAAATATATATCCTGTTTTAAAAGGATTTAGAAAACAGTAATAGTCTAATTATACATTACATGTATATAGAAAAGAGCTGTGTCAAGAATGGACAAGTGAGGCAATTGCTTCAAATAAAAAAGGAGATAAGATGCAAATTAAAAAAATATAATACATAAAATATTAATGTAAAAATGGTGTGCGGTTATGAAGTTTATCTCGTTTTAAAAACCTGTTGGCATGGCTCTGCTGTTTAAAAACAGCTCTTTTCCCACCAGATTTATTTCGATTTGTATATAAATTGCAAGCATAATGCAAAATGAATATTTTATCATTATTATGCTTGAAATTTTTCACACATGAAAAATATTTTTGTACATTAAGTTTTGTAAATAAAGACTTGTTATGAAAAAAACTGATGTTTAGTAATGCATTGGAAATAAAGGATAAAAAGTATTAAATTAGACATAATGCAGCCTTAGATTGATGTTAATGTAGTAGAAAAACTCTAAGCCAGTTATGAGCAAATTCCTTTGAAAGCAGGCCAAAAAAACAAAAGAAAAAAATTAGCTAGGCTGATATAATTTATTCTGAAACTTCAAAAAGAGTATGCGTATATTAATATGAGGAATAAAGCTATAACTGTATTTTTAAAAATTCCTTAAATTAAGGTTTGAACTGCGATGTACTTATTCTGAAAAGTGATGCTAATGCTCATCTGTCAATCTGTTTCTAATAGAAATCTTTGTAAAGTTCATGGTAGAAAACACTTCTTCATGTATAAAAAATGACGCAAACATAGCACTAATTTTGGGGGCATCAGATATTAAATTCAAGAAACTTCCTTTCGATAATTATATGTAAAACTGTGCTTGGAGCATTAAGAAATAACTGCTTGAAATTATTGTTAGACTGTAACTCAATTACTGCTTCACAATTTACATTGAAAGTCATGATGAAGATATGCATTGAAATCTTGAAAGCTGCATTCAAACTCAAAATGTAGTTTTTTAGGCCATCTTCATTACTCTTAAGCTGAATTTAACCTCAGGAAATGAGACAAAGTGCTGTTAGCTGCCCAGATCAATTTTAGTTTAAAATATGTTTAGGGTCCAGATGTCATCGATATATAGATTTTTTTCCTCCGTGCATCTTGACATTTAAGTAGTTTATATGACAAGATATGTGACAAATGCAAAGTCTAAACCTTTCAATTCTCAGTTATATGAAACAGAAGAAACATATTCTGCCATAATGTTCCTCATGTCCTATTAATCTCCTTTTTATGTCTTTCTCTGCCTTCAGATTTAATTATCATGTAGGGATTTTGAAGAGTTCTTAACCAGCATTTTATCTGCAATATGAGAATATTTTGAAAATTTTTGATATAAAAAATTTGATAAATATTGATTTATTCATAATATCAATTAAAAAGATTCATCTGTTCTATTCCCCCCTCCCCGCAATGAGTTAAGAAGTGAAGAATTTCGATCGATTTAACGGGCAAGGGGCGAAAAACTGCAATTTATGCAAGAATTTAACTGAAGTATTTGACTGCTTAGTGTTCTTCGTCTGTCACATAAACCTGCTTAGTTTTTCTGACCTTGAATTCATTCAAAGATCCCTAAGCCGAACTCGAAATCTCTCCTTTCCAAATGTGATGTCATAAATATTTTACTCTCTCTCAACGAGGGCACATTTCAACATGTGGGTGGGACAAAGTCCTTTCATACCTCAACTGCTTAACTTTCATCAATGATTTTGTGTCCTTAAGAAAGTGAGGCATAAATTCTTGTGTTAGCAACTGATACTTATGAATGATTTTTTTTCCCAGATTCTTAGTCTAAAAAAATCGCTGAAATCCGCCTTAATCCTGCCATTTTGGATTGTCAGTCATATTTCTAAATCCAGAATTTTGCCACCCAGTGCGACTGTACAGGTTGCACCGGCTCTGGCGCCGCATTTGAATTTTGTTATGGTGATCATAACAAAATTCAAATGGGAAATCAAGAGTTTCTTCATAGGAGTAACTCTTGATTGAGTTTGTAGCAACTGTACTGATATACCATGCTTTGATTCACAACTGATAAATACTGCGACAGTATACACTAGTTAACTGTTGTCAATGAAATTATGTACATTCAGCTTCATTTTTCTACTCCCACCAAATCATCTGGATACTTTTATATTGGTTAAATATTGTCTTTCGTTTACATCAAATATTCTTTATTATATTATCATTCACTTCAGTATTCCATGTTTCCTTTGTCTTCCAAATAGATTGCAATAGAAGTTTAGGACATAACGTTACAGGGAATGTAAACACTACAGGATCAAAAACTCGTTTAAAAAACGACAAGATTTTTCTCTTCGTCACTACTTCATCTTCTTTAAATTCCAAGCAAGCAACTACCAACGACTTCATATAACAGGTTAGACGGCTCATTCCACAGGAAATTCATCTGCTAACCGAACTCCAGCATATACCACGTGATTTATGGTCTTGGCGCCCTTGGGGAGTGATAGCTTAGGCTGTTAATTTCAGATTTGGCGCGCTTTTGGTATGGCAGGGCGTGTTTTTTATTTCCGTCTACTGGCAGTCGGCAGCTAACGATCTCCAATTAGATTATTCGATTTTCTACAATTATTTTTAGATATAAAACTTAATGCTTTTTTTCCTGAATATTTTATCTACATTTTTAATAATCGCTTTAATTTATTCGCTCCGTTGTTTAAGATGTTTAGGTTAAATAATTTTAGGAAGAAAATCTAAAATGAATAATAAAAAAAATGAGATGGAAACCTTATTTTTTGAATAATATCTAAAAATTAAAGTAGTAAAAGTTAATTGCAATACTGTTATAATATTTGAGGATTGAGGAGGTAAAAAATCTTGTTTATTTTTAATGCATTGCATCCTAAAGAGACAAAGAAAATCACATTCTAATATGTGTACTTATGCAATTGATGAAATATATACTTATAAACTGTTGACTTTCAGCTGGAACCATAAACCATTATTGTCCAAACTTATAATATAGTTTATAATACAAAAAAGATAAATTATACTGAAATCTTATAATAGCAAAAATATTTTCTTTCTTATATTTTAAGTAAACATAATTTTACTCAATTTAAAGTCAGAAATAGTTTTCGGAAGAATTTCAATTTACTTCTGACCTTTCAGTGTTACCAATAGTACTTGCACTCTGGAAATGTATGATAGTAAAGAATTTTTTATTTTTGAAAAGATCTTTCACTGATTGTAAATGCCCATTTTATTCAGTTACTTGCATATTAAAGTTGCTCATAAACTCAGCAATGTCCAGAAAATAATTTCATGCAAACTATGGAAAGCTACTGCCTTAACTGTATGCTGCTATGCATTAAATTTAGTAAGATTTCATATTTTGCAGATCAGCTGTAAAATGTACATTTCCAAAATAAAATTTTCTTTTTGAATTATTCAAACATGACAATACATATTCTATTTTATTCTTGTATCCCAATTAAATAAACACATTATGAAAATGTGCATTTAAATATAGTACTTACTATAAAGTAAGTGGATTAATTACAAATAAACACTAAAAAAAACTGGTGTTAAGTAAAATAAAATAAAAATATACTACTTTGTATGAATACCAATCTTTTAAACACGATCAGGACGCACATTTTGAACAGAAAGCTTTTGTTCTTCACCACCTATAAAGGAACCAACTTGCATCTGATGAAGAAAAAAAGATTTTCATTTGAAAAGCATGTCTTGCTCATGTTTAAAAGTTTGGTGTTCATATAAAGTAGTATATTTTAAGTGCATCAATGCTTTTTTTATTTATTAAAATTATTTTTCTTAAAGTATACCAGGAACAAGTACCAAAAATCACTTACTCAAAATAGTAGTCAAGTATATTATTAAAATTATTTTTCTTAAAGTATACCAGGAACAAGTACCAAAAATCACTTACTCAAAATAGTAGTCAAGTATATTCCAATTTTCCTATTTTTGATTTGTGAATGAGTAATGCGTTTTTAAAACAAAAACACACAAGTTGGCCGAAATATAGAAATTAGGTACTATTATACTAGAAAGCCGGCGGTCATACGAAATGACTGCTGTTCTAGATATTATAAATTGTAATTAAAATCATTTGTGCAAAGGTGTCTGCTAATTTAAACTGAATTACCCAGGGCAGGCGGCGAGGACGCCTCTTTGCTTACTGCCTCACGGATTTCCCCCCTTCTACTTGCTTAAAGTAGAGTGCAATGAAGGAAACCACTGGCGGTACATTTCTTAAGAACCACCGCTAGCTCAATCAATAAAGGTGATTTAAATAATGAAATGTTAATTCACATGTCAAAGATCTCTTTGTACACAACATTTCTTGTGCAGATCTTTCCATCATTTTTAAGCTTGCTTTGCAGAGGACCATCAATTATTTTTACGTCCGTTCTTTCACGAACTCTTGAAAAGGCAACATGAAGTTGACCGTGTCCAAATGCAGGATCAGGTAAAAAAATGCCAACACACAACAAATCAATAAGTCTCAGGGCGTCTGGTCCTGAGATTTATTGATGGCCATAACAAAGGCAAGTTTTACAAGAAATTGTCTACGTCTCAATTGAAACGGCAACTACTCTATGCCGTGGCAACTTCATTCCATTGGCTAGTACAGTTACGCAAGCAACAAATAAACTATCGGCGACAAACAGACACTTAAGCCGCATACATATATGGTGTAAAGTAACATCATCTCCTCCGAAACGGCTGGCTCCCGGGCTTAGCGAAGCACACCGTTGGATTTTGCAGGTTCGTGACCCGCCCTTTGGACCATTCGCGTCTTCTTGGGACTTTAATTAGCTGAGATATTAATTAAAAACTAATTTTCTACTTTCTTTCTTGTTTTCCCTATTAGAGGGATTTGGCTACGTGCCAAATTCTTTTTTCTCTCATATCTACGGAACGGGGCCGAGTTGAAACTCGAGACGCGTATCCTCGGATTCCAAAAAATTCTCCGAATCCATCGATACCGTTCTCATCATCGTACGGCTTTAATCAGCCGAGATAATAATTAAAAACTGTGGAAACGTTAATTTCCGCGCTCATTTTTCCGAGTGGCAACAATAAACTATCGGCGACACACACTTTAGCCGCTTATATATATAAAGAAGCCTGGCGGTCATACGAAATGACCGCTGTTCTAGATATTATAAATTGTAATTGAAATGATTTGTGCAAAGGTGTCTGCTAATTTAATGACCGTATCCAAATGCAGGCTCAGGTAAAAAAATGGCAATGCGCTTAAGCGTTTGACCCTGAGACTCAGTGGTGTAACTAGAACTCTTGGGCCCCTATGCAAAAAAATTTCTTGCCCCCTCCCAAAAAAAAAAAAAAAAAAAAAAAAACACAGTATTAAAAAAAAAAAAAGGACAGAAAAC